CATGCTAGGACAAATCAATATACTCTTGTTCATATGGATAAAAATATTGCTTTACTTCCGATGTCTCCTGAACAAATATTGAAAGATGATCTTACTAGAGATAGTAAAGCAAAATAGGAGCAAAACAAGAGTAAAAATCAAACTGTGGCAAAAGAATTTGAGCAACATAGGACTAATAACAGATCATCATCCTCTCTTGCGAATGAAATAAAATTGAAAAGTCCATTTTTACTTATCAATCTGGATGTTAGCAAGCATGCTTGCTATGCTTTTGTGTGTAAAGACGCATTATTTTCATTTGAGGACTCTTTGTCTCATGTTGTCGCTAACATTTTGCATGAGTTCGTTGATGTTTATCCACAAGAAGTGCCATCGGGATTACCACCTATTTGAGGGATTGAGCATAAGATTAACTTAATTCCTGGTGCCTTACTGCCCAACTGTGCGCCATGCTGCCATACCATTCCAATCCAAAGGAGACGAAGGAGATTCATCGTCAAGTACAAGAGTTACTCGACAAAGGTTATATACACGAATCCCTTAGTCCTTGTGTTGTTCCTGTTATAGTAGTGCCAAAAAAGGATGGAACATGCCCTATATGTGTTGATTGTAGAGCCATTAATAATACTATTATTTGATATCGTCATCCTAATTCTAGGCTAGATAAATATGCTTGATGAATTAAGTGGCTCTACCATGTTCTCTAAAATTGATTTGCGTAGTGGATACCATCAAATTCACATGAAATTGGGAGATGAATGAAAAACAACATTTAAAACTAAGTTCGGCTTATATAAGTGGATAGTCATGCCTTTTGAGTTGACTAATGCACCTAGCACTTTCATGAGATTAATGAACGTGCTTTCATTGGACGATTTGATGTAGTCTATTTTGAAGATATACTGATTTATAACAAATCTTCGGAGGAACACTTGGATCATTTATGTTCTGTTTTTAACTTTTTATTGTTCTACAAGATGCACGTTTGTTTGGTAACTTTGGGGAGTGCACCTTTCGCACCGACCAAGTAGCATTTCTTGGCTATGTTATTACTATACAGGGAATTGAAGTTGCTAGAGCCAAAATTGAAGTGATTGGGAGTTGGCCACAACCCAAAACGATCACAGAAATGGGGAGTTTTCTTGGACTTGTTGCTTTCCATAGACGGTATGTGAGAGATTTCAGCACCATTGTTGCACCTCTTAATGAGCTTGCAAAAAAGATGGTACCTTTTGCTTGGGCTACCGCACAAGAAAAAGCCTTCACGGTATAGAAAGAGAAGTTAGCACATGCTCCTTTGCTCCAACTTCCTGATTTTAATAACACAAGATGGTAAACTCATTGCATACTTCTTTGAAAAATTGAGTTGAGTGTCCCTAGTTTGAACTATTCTACTTATGCTCTGACTTTAGAAACTTGGCAGCATTATTATGGCCCAAAGAATTTGTTATACATTCTGATCATGAATTTTTGAAACATATTAGAAGTCAAGCAAAACTGAACCATAAACATGCTAGACTTTTCCTTATGTCATTAAACACAATAAGGGTAAAGAAAATATTATTGATGATACATGGTCTCATCACTATACTATGCTTTCATAACTTGACTTTAAAATGTTTAGTTTGGAGCCCGTCAGAGATCAATATGTGCATGATGTTGAATTTGAAGATGTAATGCAAAATTATAAAGAAGAAAGATGGAACAAGTTCATGATGGATTTGTGTTCCGTGCTAACAAACTATGCATTCCAACTAGCTCCGTTTGTCTTTTGTTTTTGCAGGAGACGTGTGGAGGATTAATAGGACAGTTTGGCGGAGATGCGTATGTTGAGATGGATGTGTGGCCACACGAGGAAGGATCGAGTCCGGAATGATGATATACGAGATAGAGTTGGGGTAGCACCAATTGAGGAGAAGCTTGTCCAACATTGTTTGAGATGGTTTGGGCATATTCAGCGCAGGCCTCCAGAAGCTCCAGTGCATAGCGGACGGCTAAAGCGTGCGGAGAATGTCAAGAGAGGGCGGGGTCGACCGAATTTGACATGGGAGGAGTCCGTTAAGAGAGACCTGAAGGATTGGAGTATCGACAAAGAGCTAGCTATGGACAGGGGTGCGTGGAAGCTTGCTATCCATGCGCCAGAGCCATGAGTTGGTTGCGAGATCTTATGGGTTTCACCTCTAGCCTACCCCAACTTGTTTGGGACTAAAGGCTTTGTTGTTGTTGTTGTTGTTATTTTGGCATGAAGAAGACAAAGGACGTATTTGCTACACATTTCTTTTGACCAAAGATGAGATGAGATGTTAAGTGTTTTGTTGCTCGCTGCACTACATGTCAAAAAGCTAAGTCACGACTCAATCCTCATGGTTTATATATGTACCTAATGTTTCATGGGAGGACATATCCATGGACTTTGTTTTAGGTTTACCTCGAACAAAGAAGGGGAGGGCTACCATATTTGTTGTCGTCAGCAAATTTTCAAAAAGACACAATGCTAATGTTGTCGATTTGTTCTTTCATGAAATTGTCCACTTGCATGGTGTATCAAATACTACTGTTTTAGATCATGATACTAAATTTCTTGGCCACTTTTGGAGATATTTATGGGCTAAATTAGGGACTAAAATCACTAAACTGTTTTCTTAGTACTACCTGACTCCCAAACTCATCAACAAACTGAAATAGTCAATAGAACTTTGTCTACTATGCCTAGGACTGTTTTAAAGAATAGCTTACAAATATAGAAAGAATGTTTGCCTCATATTGAATTCGCTTATAATCGTTCAATGCATTCTACCACTAAGCCTCGTACACTCATTGATTTGTTGCCTCTTTCATCTTCGAAGAAGGGTTAATTTTGATGCAAAACAACGGGTTGAATTTATCTTAAAAATACAGGAGCTAACTAAGGAAAACATTGAGCGAATGAATGCTAAATACAAACTTGCTAAAGATAAAGGTAGAAAACATGTTGTCTTTGCACCTGAAGATCTTGTTTGGTTACATTTACACAAAGACAGATTTCCTAATTGCGCATGTCTAAGCTAATGGCACATGTTGATGGTCTGCAGATTTTACGGTTAGTTCCACATGTAACATTGCAGATTTGAAGCCTTGTTTGGAAGAGGAAGATGAGCTTCCATCGAGGACAACTTCAATTTAAGAAGGGGAGGATGATAAGGACATCCTAACACTCTTACACCCATATCCCCTACTGCTACACATAATGGATCAATTACTAGAGCTCACACACACAAATTAAATTATCAGGTACTTTCGTCTCTTTGTAATGTTTCTAATGTTCATGAGAACATAACGCTGCCTAAATTGGATACTTTTGTGTTGTTTAGGAATGAAGGGCCTAGCATTGACAAGAGGGATGGACATTGGAACATAATCAACCATGGAGATGAAGACGCATGCACAAGGAACAAAAGTGGAGCTTCAAGTGGGGATGACATGATTTTGAAGCTGCCATAATGACGTATGAAGACTTGGACACAATATACAAGATGTCACTTCATGATTTTCATCATTTTTGGGCCAGTCCCATGTAATTTCGAAATACCATATCATAGGTTGTTTTCGAGTCTGTAGGGAAAACGACTTAGAAAGGATTTTAGTCTCACCTTGTCAAGGGTGGATGAAATTCTTAATTGTCTCACTATAAATACAGCCCTTAGGGTATCATTTAGACTTGGGTTTTGTTTAGTTAAAAGTTAGCCATAGCAACTTTATGTACTTTGTGTCGAACGACCATGCCAAGACCATACAGAACCCCAACTTTCATCAATAATCATTATCTTTTATTTATAAAATTCAGATTGCAAATCTTAGTTCTTGCTTGTTCTTCGATTCTTGCAGGGAATAGAGCTTCGTGGTCAGGTTGATCGTGCTCCGACATGGTCAATAACCTCTAGGAGTTGGTTTAGCGATTACTAAGGCGCAACGTCATCGCATGTTTGTAGTCGAATCGTCAAAGTCGACTCCACAGAAATCAATAGTTACTATCTCATTGAAACATCAGGACAACTTTGCGCTATCGGCTCCAAAAGGCAAAATGAGGACCTCCAAGGGAAAGTGAGGAAGGAGCAACAAGGAGGAGGAGAAGAAGACGGCATCCGTTGTTCAAAAGTGAGCAAAAGCTCTCCGCACGGGGTCCTGCACCCCCATGCCCACAGGGTCAAGCCATAAGCTCTTTGGACACCCCATGCCCATGGGACCCGTGCGCAACCCCCCACCCCCTTCTTGCCCACAAGTCTGCCTACGAGTAATTATGGGATGTCCTTTGTACCCCTGACTTATGCCTCGTTCCCTAGGACCTATATAATTCGCACCTCCTTCATTTTCTAGAATTTAGCAAAGCATAAACTAGATCTTAAGAGCGCTTTGCTCATCTTAGAAGTTGGAGAAGAACTATCTCTCAAGACATCTATATCTCCTAGGGATTAGGGAATAACCACCCTTGTTACCCTTTATTTCCTTAGTTGTTCTTGGATCTAAGATGCATCTCTCGTATTGACTTCAAATTTGTAGATCTTGTCCTATGTGAGTGTTTTCCTCTTGTTTCCCCTTTGCTTACCCTTGTTCTTGTGTTGCTTCCTCAAATCCACCTCCAAATCGTGAAGATCGGGCCACCTATGCGGTTTATATCACCAAGGTTTAGTCCAGGATTTGGTCCACATGTGGCCACAGGCCCACTATATGTGTGCAGTTGTAGGGATTAGTCCACCTTTCTTAGGGAGAAAAGCCATACTCAAACATATAAGCTCGGCCATCCAATGGTAGTAACTCTCGACCAATTGTTCTGCGTGAAGCCAGACTAAAACGCAACCCAGTTGCTACCCATATGGGGTTAGGTCGAAGTAGGGAGATCTAAGCAAGTTTAGAACTGGGATTGTTACAACAAACATGCTAGTAGTACTAGACTAAGGACCCTCCCTTTACTAACATCAGAATATGCGAAAACCCAAGTACTAGAAGAAATAAATGTGACCTACCTCGTTGAAGTCTTCCATGTGCAAGATCCGCTCTACAGATATTAGATACAAACGATCTTCATCTATCTCCTCCCCAAATTTGGTTTCCCACCTAGTAGACAGCTTCTGCGTAATTCAGTTCAGCACATTACAAACCATTAGTCCAACTACACAAGAATTGAACAATCTGCCATTCATAATGCATTAAGTTTTGAGAGACTAGAACTAACAGAAATATTCCAAATAAACTAAATGCTAACTTTTTCAGGAAGAGTCCAGAATCACGGCCAAGCAGTTCGATTTGCTCATTCAAATACGCCATAACATTATCATTATTTTCGAGAAAACGCAAGGCTTGCGGCTCAATAGAATAGAGTAACAAATTACAAGCCTAACACTAGGCTGAAACAACCGACCACTCAAGGCAAGAACACAATCGACTGTCGCAAAACATGCGTTACAACTGGATGTCATCCACACAAGCGCACAGAACAGAGACCCCCAACACGAGAAGAGAGCATCTGACTCTACGAAGAAGGGCAGAATTAGGTCGCTCTTGCATTTGAGACGACATAGTTGATGAAGTCGCAGACCACTGGCCACACACCGCCACGGGTGTCGAGGCCACGGTAACACCATACGCCACTTGCGTTATGAACGCCACACCACCACACAGCTGCCAGCAGCCATCAGTCAAGATCCATCGAGTGCACCTATGTGACCAAGATGCCATGACATGGGATTCTCCGCAATCTGCTAGCCATGCCATCCATGGTATTCGTGCGGGTGTGATGCAGACAGACCTACGAGCACGTTCGTCAACCTAGGGCCAGACAACCAAAAACAACGCCTAAAGGGAGGGAGCGACATTGTCGATGCTGTCAGCATCCAATCCGACAAGCCATATCTAGGTTTTCACCCAGGATTAGACCACAAGGGACGGAGGTGGACTTGGGCTACTCAATGACACTGAGGAAACGACGCCCAAAGGCGTCGACATTGGCACGGACAAAGGTCATGCATGGCTTTTCTCGGAGCACCATGGCCACAACTCATGCATCAACAACAACCCTGCCAAGTCACAACAGCAAGATCCAAGCTCTACCTACAATCACGCTCGCTAGATAACATGTATGGCCGCCACCCCGCCAACAGAGGCCAACACACGCCACGCATCAAAGATGAGCACGGACCAGCCACGACGCCATCCCTAGGAGCCAACCTGTGGCTAGAGGGCCCTTGCACTAGCCATCCCAGATCCACGACAAGGGTGCCCAGATATGTGGTATAATGCTTGCACACACAACAACACCCAGGGCCGTGCCAAGTAAAAATCAACGAAGACTACGAGGGAAGAGGACTAGTTGCGTGAATAATGGGCACAACGGGCAAGGTAATAAGGCACGCATCGCCGAACACTCGCGACACGCTGCCAATCACCATGTCAGAGCACCAACGAAGCCCGCCTCCAGTCGAGCACCGAGACAACGTAGCTACCTAAGGCAGTTACCATGCCAGGAGCATCTCCAACATCACCTACCCACACCGATCTCTCACCGGTAGTGGAGCGAACCACTGTTCTTCTTGTCCTGACAGCCGTAAGAAACCTCCTCAAACCAACTAAGCTAAATATTGGCTAACTACTCACCGTCGTCGATTTCCACTCAGTCGGCAAGGGGCCTTTGCAGCCACCATGCTCCCCTGGATCCGCCGACCAGTACTAGCCAACCAGGAAAAAGGTTGCTCCTTTGCAGCCATCATGCTTCCCAAGGCGAGGAGGGACATGAGAGAGGGGGGAAGGAAGGAGGCGGCAGGGGCCCCGAGACTCATTGCGGTTAGCCGGTCGACCTGATGTTGCCATCAGTAGACACGAACGCCAAAGCAAGGCCCGCCGCTCACCCTAGCCACCACAAGTGACGCCGCACGGCAAGCCACACGGCTGCCCCCGGCAACGAGTCTACGCCTCCCGCCCTTCGATCTGGGGTGGAGAGAGGCGGAGGCAGTGGCGTGGTGATTTTGGGGTTACATCCAAGGCGGGGAGAGGTGAACTAGGGGTGTTTGACTAGGGGGCGTGCAACCACAACCAACAACATTCACCAACGCAGGAAGTCCATCGGCAACTGCAACGAGCTAAGAAACGCCCCGCGGCCGCCGTCATCAATGCGGGCTTTGCCCGACGGCCTCCTCTAGCAACAACGAGGGGGAAAGAGGGGCGGGGGATGCCGGCGGCGGGTAGGGTTTGGGACGTCGCACGTGTCACCCAAAGGAAGAGGAAGAGGAGGCCCGAGATGCAACCACGCCATAACATTATTGTGCCCAACATAGTATGTAAGCCCATACTTCTGGAGTAGAAAATTCCTTATGTAATCAACTGATAGTTCACAAGTGCAATGCGAAAATCTCCTTGGCAAGATGCGATATCATAATTTTCTTACCTTCAGCATATATTTATCACTAGGTTTAGTCAAGGCACCAAGAAAAGTACATTGTGGTGTCCTGGCTCCACTTTGCCGAAACTGCAGCACCAAAAGTAGAAGAAAAAACGGTGAGTATAATATGAAGATGATACATACCATAGAGGTCAAAGTTAGACTATGGGCCCGATATGATTTCCCTTACAACTAACACTGGTTTCCCATCAAACTCTAAAGACTAAAACCAAATCAAAGGGTGAAATCGAATCAACAAACTTACGAACCACAATGAAGCAAAACAAAAAAGTGCTTATCGTGAAATGCAGCAATAAAATAAGTAGTTGGGAATTCGGCCATTGGTTCAACAACAATACATAAATCAAGAGATCACTTCACATTCCGAAAGAATGAGATCTGAGGAACAAATTCACCACAGCTACACGGTTACCAATAGCAGACCAAAAGTGATAAGTAGAATGAATCAAATATCACTGGACGCCCTACAATGTGGGAACATTCTCAAAATGACAACAATCTAACACATCAAAGTCCAAACTGACACGGGAAATTCATAGGGTCAAAGTTTCAACTGCAAAACATCTCTTAGTTATATCCAACACCAGATGACAGAACAAATATACTTCAAGATAAGGGACGGAAAAAAAAATCAAGACAAACCTCTGGAAGGATCATAATTCTTGTTTTTCAGTCACAGTGCAATTAACAGCGAAAAAAATCGATTCTATTCATCAGAGAAATTCTACAACAACAACAACAAAACATATAATCTTCGATCAAGGGTTGTCTTTCCAAAAAAGAAATAGCTCTGTAGTTCTGATTAAGGCCACACAACTGCGTCTCCGAACTCTAGCTCGATATTCATCGCAAAATGAGTGCCAAGGACATTAGGAGCCTCCGAAAACGACATGACTTCGGTGTACTACTAATGGGGAAATTAGATCTTAACCCACATTTTATTCCCACGGGCCTTTGGTGGTCCTAATTGGCGCATGGCACGGTGGCGTCTTCGACTATGATGAAGTCGAACTGCCGCGTTCCCTCACCTCAACGTGAAAACTTGCCCGCGCATCAGGCACGGTCACTGCCGCTGTGGCTAGGCAGAGCGCGGGCGCGCCAGCGGCGTCGGCGACAAAACGAGCGCCGACACCGAGCGGCCAACCGTCGGCGCCCACGACGGACAGCGTCCCGGAAGGCGCGAGCTCAACCACCGTCCGCGCCACCTCGGCTGCCGACGGCTGGGTCCGCTGTGCCGACACCGATGATGCGGGGGACGATACCGCCGCGGCCTCTGCGACCACCCGGACTCCACGCCTCGCCGTTGAGACTGCGAGCGACGAAGCAGACGGCTTCTTGAAGACGAGGGCGCCGCGGGAGGGGAGCGGGGAAGAGAGGAGGGAGGGAGATGTCAACGACATGGCGGAATTGGAGAACATTTGGGTAGAGATTTCGTGGGGATATTGTAGGGGGTGAGATGGTAGAATAGGTCTCCAAATTTTTTTCCAACGAATCGGCCGAAAAAAGACGCAGCCGATCCCTCCTCCCACCTTCCTGGTTTTTCGCCTTTCCTCCCACCCTACCTGGCCAAATGGGCCGGCACGGCACGGCACGGCCCGACCAGACTTACACGGGCCAGGCACGGCACGGCCGGCCAGGCACGTCCAGTACAGGGCCGTGCCGGGCTGGCACGCGTGCTGGCATCCCCGGCCCAGGCACGGCACAGCAGCCTCACGGGCCGGCACGACAGCCCACCTGGCACGCTGGCCTCTCGCGCGGCACGAGCGACCGACGGAGCGAGGTGCTCCTTCTCGCTCGCACATGCAGTTTTTTTAACGTGTAGTTGTTGTAATGCTGTAATAAATGGATTGCATGGGCGTGCGCATGCAACGGCCGGCCCCACCCGAACGAGCCAGCGAGGCAGCCAGCGTCTGGGCAGCTGCGCCCTGCACGTGTGAGATGCCCCCGAAGTTCAAATTTGAACGCTCGCCTCCGCTCCCGCCGTCCCGCGCGTTGCGTGGTGTCGTGGCTTGGGCGTGCCCACTGGCTAGGCGTGCCGTGCCCAGCCTCGCGGCCCAGGCACGGCCCTAGGCGGGCCACGTGCCAGGCTGGCCCATGACGGGCCGAGCAGGCGGGCTATCGTGCCGGCACGCTAAGGCCGCCCCATTTGGCCAGGTATACCTCCCACCCTCGTAACCAAAAAAAAATCTGCCAGGACCTGCCGCCGCCGCCCCGCCCCGCCCCACCCCCACCTTCGATTCCAGCCGACGCCATCCACCCCTCGCGTCGGCCGCCACCAGCGTGGCTCCACCCCTGTCTTCCCCATTGATCCCCAGCACCTCCTCGCGCGTTCCCCCCTGCGCGCCCCTGCGGCTAACCCTAGCCACCAACTCGTGTTGCGGGCACTAAGGATGGGAGAGGGGCGGTCGCGTCGTTGATGGGGTGGACCTCCTGGGGCATCGCGGATCCAACCCATCCCTCGATCCTATCCTCCCCCGGTCTTTTTCCTATGTCGTGGCTGGGGGATGACGCCGCTGCCGCCATCGCTAAACCACAGGTCAGCGAGTGGTTGTGGGACGACACCGCCACTGCCGCTGCCGTCGCGGAACCCCGGGGCAGGGCGTGGTCGTGTTGCGGGCAGCACGAGCGGCCTTGCCTCTCCCCCGTTAGTATGTCCTCAGCAGCAATTCGTGACCTCCTCCTGACAGATCCAAGGCCGTGGCCTTTGGGGTCCAAGTCAATGTGCGCCATGAGCCCTCAAGCAGCGCGTGTGTGGCCACTGCATCAAGAAACAACCTCCACCACCATCGTAAGTTTGTTTTTAATTCACGTGCTTAAGGCTGAAAGCATTCTACTGTACTTAGGGCATGTACGGTTGTACGAGTAAAGCTATTATATATATGCCATCACAGAACTATCGGCCTTTTCATGTCAATACAAAAGGGCTTTGCACTATGTGTGTTCTTGTTGTACATCAACGAGAATAGCAAGTATAGCAGAGAAAACAATGGCAAAAATAAGGAGCGACATTCTTCTTATTTTAAAGAAAGGCATCTAGTTGATTCATGTGAGTTTTTGGAACTAAAGCATCATACAATGATAGGTAGCAGTAAGATACTTGACCCATGTGAAGCTGAAAGTGTTTTCTTATATCGAACGTATGATAATCTAATCTTTATGACAAGGAAGAATTACTACGAAAGGATTATGTTTTGAGGTAGTATTTGCTAAGCTTATTCACGTACTTTTGTGCTAAGAAGTTTGCATAATGGCATGTTTTCTTTCAATTGTAGGGAAATCCTCTTGATGAATGAAATGAATGGTGAAGAAAGTTGTAATTTCAACCAAAGGACCAGGTTGCACTGAGGTAGTGGTGTGGTCCCGATGACGACGGCGAGGTTGACCTAATGATAAGCTTGGCAGTTATTATTCTGTTTTGGCGTCGATTGCGGCACCGGTGAGAATCCATTAGCCTTCCTCCTCTCCTCGCTGCCCCATCTAACTGTCATTGTTAGTCCTTTTACAGTTGTTGTTATGAATAAAATTGGTTGGCTCTCTTAGCTGAAAACTGAACCACACTCAATGGATGGATGAATGAATGAAACTGCCCCTTACTATGCTAGCGCTCATTTCTCACGGACGCCAATTTGAGCTTTTCTTTCTCCGCACCTTGCATTGACCATAGAGGCGCACCCCACAATCCATCCAGGACCTGCACCCTTGAATCCGACGATGAAGCCATATGCGTAAGTTGATTGCATCCATGAATCAAATATCTACAGTACATGGCACTGCATTACTGTCTCTACCGAAAAAGGCTTTCGCCCCGCTTTATATTATAAAGTCAACCGCACAACAAGCATCCAACAAGGTCCAACACAAAGCCACGCACGCACACACGGAAGTCCACGGGAAGAAATAGTACATGAAAGGGTCAATGCCGAGGGCACAACACAACAAGCCATAAACCCAAAACACGCACGCCACATAGCCGCCAGGCGGTCTAGTCAGGCTCAAGTGGAGGAGGCGGCAGCGGGGGAGCCATGCGGAGCGCCATCGAGCGGAGATCGGAGAGGAGGTTGGTGATGACGTCCCGGTCCTGGGGGCGGCTAAGCGGCCGCCAAAGCTGCAGGTAGCCACACAATTTGAAGATTGCGTTAGTCGCACGTTGGAGGGGCACCTTCTGAATAACAAGCTTATTGCGAATGTTCCAAAGCGTTCAGGCGAGAACCCCAACGCACAGCCATCTAATATGGCGGTAGCGAGTAGGGGAAGCGTTGAGCTCGGCAAGCAGGTCGGGGAAGTTGGTATTACACCACTGTCCGCCAACCATTTTGCGGAAGCAGGCCCAAAGGAACTGGGCAGAGTGGCACGAGAAAAAGATGTGGTTAGCATCCTCAATCGTGCCACAGATGGGGCACATCCCATCACCCGGGCCATTACGCTTGAGGACTTCAACCCTAGAGGGGATGCGTCCACGGATCCATTACCACAGGAAGATTCTGATCTTCAGCGGAAGTCAGATGTCCCAGATCAGGCTAAATGGTTCCAAGGCCGTCGAGGGAGCAATGGCGCCGTACAGGAACTTCGTGGAGAAACGGCCAGAGGGCTTGAGGCGCCAGGAAAGAACATCCCGGTCCTCCTCGACGTTCATAGGCATAAGTGTGATGTCTTGGAGGAGGGAGTCCCAGGCGGACACCTCGAGGGGGCCAAAGGGCGCCGGAAGGCGAGACGCCCTAAGTCAATAAGGACTATCTCGATAGAGACCGAGGGTCAGCCGCAATGGCAAAGAGTTCTGGGAATCGCACAGCCAGGGGGGCGTCCCCTAGCCAGCGGTTGAACCAGAACAAGGTCGAGGCCCCGGAGCCAACCGAGATGGATGTGCTGATGCGTAGTATGGGCAGAAGCTGGATCACGGACTGCCAGAACTACAATCCACCCGTACGTTGGCAAAAGGCAAGAGGTTGGCCACGGAGGTACTTATTACGGATGATGGTGAGCCAGAGGCCTCCCTCCCCATTGGCAATACGCCACAGCCATCGGGTCAAGAGGGCAATGTTCATGCGTCAGGATGAAAGGATCCCAAGGCCACCCTGGTCTTTGGGTTTGTAGATGTCGGGCCAGCTCACCATATGGTACCTCTGCTTGTCGCCCTCGCCAGCCCAGAAGAACCTCGACTGGTATTTGGCCACCTCCTGATGGAGGGTCTCATGAAGGCTGTAGAAGCTCATGAGAAACCAGAGAAGGCTGGCAAGCGAGGAGTTGATTAGGATCACCCTGGCAGCTTTCGACAGCCAGCGTCCCCTCCAGGGTTCAACCCTGTGCTGCATCCTAGTCACCGACGGGCGGAGATTCGCAACGGTGAGTCTGGAGTCACTAATGGGCACCCCCAAGTAAGTCGTGGGGAAGGGGCCCAGGCGGCAGTTCAGCCGGTCCGCAATGGACAGAGCTTCGTCCGGGGGGTAGCCGAGGACCATCACTTCGCTCTTGTCGAAGTTGATGGTGAGTCCCGACATCTGCTGTAAGCACAGGAGGAGGAACTTCAGGTTGGCGATGTCGGATGCGGAGCCCTCCACTATGATTATGGTGTCGTCCGCGTATTGGAGGAGGGAAACCCCTCCTCCGTCCACTAGGTGGGGGACAACGCCCCGGATATGGCCGCAGGACGGGTTACTAACCTGTGTGTCGCTCGCAGCCGCGCCGGCACCCGTGGATCGCTGGAAGCCGGGCCGTCACCGGGGGCAAAGTTTGAAGAAACAGGCCTCACACACCTGATGCGACGACAAACTTTGAAGAAATAGTTCAAATCCACATGATCCGAACGCAAACCTGGAAGCTTGGAGAATCAGGCCTTGTCCGCCCCGCTCGGAAGATGGGATTAAACTGTTCAAATCCACATGATCCGAACGAAAATTGTTTGTTGTCTATGGAAAGAGCAAAAATATTAGATTAAATTGTTGTTTATGGAAGCTTCTCGTGACGGTTCCATATGATTTGATTTGATTGGTGTCGTAAATTGAAGAGAAGGATGGAAGGTTTGTTGTTTTATATGGAAGGGGATGGAACGTTTGGCTTGGTTCTTGTGATGCATGAATGAAAATTGGTCTCGGTTTTTGATGGGCGGAGGGATCGCCTGGTGGGGAGATTGATGGGCGGTGGGAAGGAATGAAGCAAACGAACGTACTGAGAGACATTAGGAGTAGAGATGTTTTCTTTCTTCTTTTTCTTTTCTTTTTTCTATTTTTCATTTTTTGTTTCTGTTTTTCTTTTTCGATATCGATTTTTTCTTTTTATTCGTCCTGGTTCATTGAATTGTTTGTAAATATGTGAACTTTTCTTTTAAATTGATGTGTTTTTAAATTCGATCGACTTTTCATGAGATTTGATGAACTTGATGAACCTATTTTTAAAATTTGTGAACTTTTTCCAAATAGATGAA